TATTTGTTTTGATATATTTCAGTTTCATTGTTATGTGTTTGGCACTACACTTTAGGTTTTAGTTACTATTTAGGCTTGTATACTACCTATTGGTGTTAGCTGCTTTACACCCTCAGTCAGCGTGGATGTTGTTTATTTTATCTGATATTACATGTTGCACCCTAAAAACAGGTGGAACATGTAACATGTTCCCAAAGGTGCACTTATTCTTTAAAGTCTAGCCATTTAAGAATTAAGAAACTAAAGTAGTCCAAAATTGTCCAGCGACAGGACATTTTAATGAGGGTGAACTACCAGAAATACACTATATTGCCAAAAGTATTGGGACGCCTGCCTTTATACGCACATGAACTTTAATGGCATCCCAGTCGTAGTCTGTAGGGTTCAATATTGAGTTAGCCCACCCTTTGCAGCTATAACAGTTTCAACTCTTCTGGGTAGGCTGTCCACAAGGTTTAGGAGTGTGTCTATGGGAATGTTTGACCATTCTTCCAGAAGCGTATTTGTGAGGTCAGGCACTGATGTCGGATGAGAAGGCCTGGCTTGCAGTCTCCGCTCTAATTCATGCCAAAGGTGTTCGATCGGGTTGAGGTCAGGACTATCAGGCCAGTCAAATTCCTCCACCTCAAACTTGCTCATCCATGTCTTTATGGACCTTGCTTTGTGCACTGGTGTGCAATCATGTTGGAACAGGAAGGGGCCATCCTCAAACTGTTCCCACAAAGTTGGGAGCATGAAATTGTCCAAAATGTCTTGATATGCTGACACCTTAAGAGTTCCCTTCACTGGAACTAAGGGGTCAAGACCAGCCACTGAAAAACAACCCCACACCATAATCCCCCCTCCACCAAACATTACACTTGGCACAATGCAGTCAAGCAAATATCATTCTCCTGGCAACCACCAAACCCAGACATGTCCATCGAATTGCTAGACAGAGAAGCGTGATTCGTCACTCCAGAGAACACATCTCCACTGCTCTAAAGTCCAGTGGTGGTAAGCTTTACACTATTGCATCTGACGCTTTGTATTGCACTTGGTGATGTATGGCTTGGATGCAGCTGCTTGGCCATGGAAAACCATTCCATGAAGCTCTCTACACACTGTTGTTGTGTTTATCTGAATGCCACACGAAGTTTGGAGGTCTTTAGCTATTGACACTGCAGACAGTTGGCAACTTCTGCGCGCTGTGAACTTCAGCATGCACTGACCCTGCTCTATCACTATTACGTGGCCTACCACGTGACTGAGTTGCTGTTGTTCCCAGTTGCTTCTACTTTGTTCTAATAGCACTATTACCATGGAATATTTAGTAGGAAATATCATGGATGGACTTATTGCACAGGTGGCAACCTATCATGGTACCAGGTACCACGGTATTCACTGAGCTCCTGAGACCAACCCATTCTTTCACAAATGTTTGTAGCCTAGGTGCTTGATTTTATGCCTGTGGCTATGGAGGTGATTGAAACACCTGAATCTAATGATTTGGAGGAGTGTTCCAATACTTTTGGCAATATAGTGTATATTGAAGAATTAGGAGGTCAAAAAAATGCACAGTGGTGGCAGTGTAAAATTGGCTACAAGCAGGACAATTTAAAATAGAATTTTAGAAACAAACTTGGTCTTTACTACAAGAATTGATACTGCAGGTGATACAGCAGTGTAAAACTGTCTAGCAACAGGATCATTTTAATCAGGGATAATAGGCCTAACTGGTACGTCTAAATTTTCTTTTATCCATGGGGATAGGGAGTTGTGGTGAATATGTGATATACCATGAGGTTGTTTTGGTGCGCGCTGTTCTTTCACTTCGTTTTTTTATTTGCCTAGCAATGAGGATACCCAGCATGGGCCTGCTACTGTCGGCCAATCGTGGGTGCTGTCCTTGTTGCCCAGCAATGAGGATACAAACGCCACTAAGAAACACCTGGGCAGCCATGGTGGGAGCATAATTCAGACTCATGCTTCTAACATTTACCTTGAGAACATGAAACAAACTTAATGTTCAATATTTGGTTAGATGTCTGTAACAAGAAAATTTGTGAATTTTGAGAGGAAGGTCCGATCCTGACATCGGGAGCAAGTGTTCCGACACCCAGTGCAGGGATATAGTGTTTTGGTTCAAATCATAAGACAGTTCCATGTAAAGCTGGGAGCTATGGTTGTAGGATGTTGAGTTTCCAGTGGTATGGTCCTGTACAGGGGCGGACTGACCATTGGGGAACTCGGGCACTGCCCGAGGGCCCGGGGTCAGTAGGGGGCCCCAAGAGATGTCCCTGGTACCTTTCATTTTTAGATGTGATTTGAGTGTGGGTGAGGACACAGGGGCCCCATGATCTCCTATTGCCCAGGGGCCCCATGAGTTGTCAGTCCGCCCCTGGTCCTGTACCTACAGCCATTCATTCCAGTGTCAAAACCAGAGGCTCTTCATGCATACAATATATCATACATTCACATCAGTCCGTAACCCTCAAGGAGTGTACAATCTAAGGTCCCTACCTCATGTTCATACATATATTAAGGCTGATTTAGACAGGAGTCAGTTAACCTATCAGCATGTCTTTGAGTGTGGGAGGAAACCAATGAACCTGGAGGAAACCCATGCAGGCATAGGGAGAACATGCAAACTCCAGGCAATTAGTGCCGTGGTTGGGATTTGAACCAACAATGCTAGTGCTGCTAGGCGGGAGTGCTTGCTACTTAATCACTGTGCTTCCCACACTGCATTAGCTAACAGAATTAAGTCTCCCCTCCGTTTCTCTCAGGTTCCACAATGGTGAAGACTGCTGATCTTTAATAAACTTATTTGCCATACCATTCCCAGGGGTGAGCTCAATCTCTTTGACCTAATATCCTCTTGTATACAGCTCCAGCCACAATCCTAGCCTCATGTGCAATCCTGTCCCTCTGCAGTGTGACTTTTTTTTGTTTCAATCTTCTCTTGTACCTGCAGGCCCCTAAATGGCAATAAGCAGTCAACGCAGCTTGCGCGAATCCGGAGAGTGATAACCCAAAGCAATTGTAACATAACTTGCGTGACCGGCCTGGCTGATTTTAACTGATCCGGCAGTTTGAACAAAATCCCAGCACTGTTGGGGGAATTCCAACAAGTTCTCAGGTATGCTGCTCATTTAGCCAGTAAATTGTTACTAAACCCACAACAGTATAATCAGTCTGTATATGCAGTAAAGCATGTTTGTTATACTCACTGTGGAACCTAAGGGGGTTAATCCTCTGCTCTGTGTAAAAAGGCAATTTGTTCCTGATTACTCTGTTCCTTCCCTTGTTTAAGTGACCACCTCTTATTTCCTGATAAGACAGACTGAACAGTAGGCATTTTGTACATGCTCAATTTGGTGTTTTGCTAAAGAGGTTTTTTTTGGGGGGAGAGTGCATGTGATCAGCACAGGGCCAATCTTTGCTGGTCAGACAGAGGTCAGGGGTTTTGCATCCTCCTAGAGCAGAAAGAAAACTCCTCCTACAAGCTTTAGCTAGTTCTTGGCTGAACACTGATAGAAATCACAAGACTGCTCTAACTGCTGATGAGAAAAGGTATTTAGCAGTTTATATTTACTAAAATAATTGCATTTCCATGTTGTGTGTACTGTGGGAGACCAGATATAGTGAATGCAGGGTCCTGGGTTTAACACGTTAACTATTCTGTTAAACAGCTACACAGTCCTGATTCATGTTCAGCTCCACAGCATCTGTTTCCAGTAACAACTGTGTTTAAGTATCTGATCCTGCTACTCAGTTTCTGTATTCAGTTCAGCTGCATTGCTGCTATTCAGTCCTTAGGTGTCAGCAACACTCAGGGCACTCGTCCTGGTTTTTTGGTGGGGTTTCAAGGTTCCCAATACCGCAAATGCCTTTTTTTTGTGTTGCACAGAGCTGCATTGCTGCTGGAATTTGCATTGCAGTACCACTTCTGTCTATCTGACAGTGACCGTTCAGAGCTGGGAAGGTTCCTCATTGGCTCTGGTCACATGACACAGGACTCTCCCTCACTCCGAACTGCCATTACATCTGGTAAGTGGGTTTAAGGAAGAAGGGAGATCTGTACTAAGGGAGATCTCTGCTGGGGAGAAGGGATCTTTACTAATGGGGAGGGGGGGGTCTGTACTTGGGGGGGAGGGGGTTGTACTGTGGGGGCTAGGGATCTGTACTGAGAGGGGTGGTCTGTACAGTGGGGTTCTGTAGTGGGAAGGGGCTGAGAGGGGTTTGTTTGTACTAAGGGAATGGACTGGAGGGTAGGTCTTTACTGGGGTGGGGTTTGTACTGAGGGGGTGGGCAAAATCTGTACTGGGGAAATTAAGGCTGTTGGGGTAGTTCTATACTGAGGGCCTGGCAGAGATTTGGAAAAGGAAAAAGGGGTAATTTTTATCTGTACTCTGTACACTTTGCATTATGTACAGACCCCTGTACTGCCCTGGCTCGTTTACTCCGTTTACAAATTTTTTACCCCTGAGCCCTTCACTCTGTGTATTACATACTCTGTGTTACTGTCTATTACACACTTCTGAGAGCTGCAATTGTGTGTGTTATACACTCCTGACCCCTGCACTCTGTAAATTATGCACTGCTGAGTCCTGCACTCAGTTCTTTGTGCACTCCTGAGGCTCCACAATTCACAAAGTTACATGAGTTTTTTACTTATTATCATTATTTTATCTGACCAAAAAGATTTTATACATAGAAATAAATGTATTATTGTAGAATCATTTTTGGGATTAGTCACTACAGGACACAGCACTAAAGGGAGGAAGCATTCACTATTTGCCACTATTTGTGAACACTCACAAAACATATTTATTAACTGACCTAAAGCAGATTATATTGTGTGCAACCAAGAGTATGCATAACAACCTTAAACTACTGCATTTTATACAGGATTACATAAAAAAATTAAAACCAATGCTGTGACTTTTATTTAATACAAGCATACACATAAAAACATAAGACTTGAAAAAGAGATTTAATATACAGACCAAAACACATTAAAATGTACAGTATTTTTTATAGTTTATCATATTTCCTAATTTTGTTCCAGCGAGATACTTTTCAAACTGTGCATCCACCTCTTTGCTCTGTTCTTCAGTAAAAAGACTTTTCCAGTCCCCTATTTCTCCTGTAAAAGTAAAAAATAAATAAATAATAGTTTTTATCATCATTTAATATCAAAATATACAGTGGGGATCGAAAGTTTGGGCACCCCAGCTAAAAATTTGTATTAATGTGCATATAGAAGCCAAGGAAAGATGGAAAAATCTCCAAAAGGCATCAAATTACAGATTAGACATTCTTATAATATGTCAACAAAAGTTAGATTTTATTTCCATCATTTACACTTTCAAAATAACAGAAAACAAAAAAAATGGCGTCTGCAAAAGTTTGGGCACCCTGCAGAATTTATAGCATGCACTGCCCCCTTTGCAAAGCTGAGACCTGCCAGTGTCATGGATTGTTCTCAATCATTGTCTGTGAAAACCAGGTTATGTCCTTCTCAAAGGTTTTAAATGCCCAGACTCATCTGAGCTTGCCCCAACAATCAGCACCATGGGTTCTTCTAAGCAGTTGTCTAGAAAACTGAAACTGAAAATAGTTGATGCTCACAAAGCTGGAGAAGGCTATAAGAAGATAGCAAAGCGTTTTCAGATGTCAATATCCTCTGTTCAGAATGTAATTAAGAAATGGCAGTCATCAGGATCAGTGGAAGTTAAAGCAAGATCTGGAAGACCAAGAAAAATATCAGACAGAACAGCTCGCAGGATTGTGAGAAACAATTCAAAATCGACGTTTGACTGCACGATCCCTCCAGAAAGATCTGGCAGACACTGGAGTTGTGGTACACTATTCCACTATAAAGAGATACTTGTACAAATATGGTCTTCATGGAAGAGTCATGAGAAGAAAACCTCTTCTACGTCCTCACCACAAAAATCATCGTTTGAAACGCAAATGAACATATAGACAAGCCTGATGCATTTTGGAAACAAGTTCTGTGGACCGATGAGGTTAAAATTGAACTTTTTGGCCGGAATGAGCAAAGGTACGTTTGGAGAAGAAGGGGCACAGAATTTAATGAAAAGAACCTCTGTCCAACTGTTAAGCATGGGGTTGGATCAATCATGCTTTGGGGTTGTGTTGCAGCCAGTGGCACAGGGAACATCTCACGAGTAGAAGGAAAAATGGATTCAATAAAATTTCAGCAAATTATGGACGATAACTTGATGCCATCTGTGAAAAAGCTGAAGTTAAAGAGAGGATGGCTTCTACAAATGGATAATGATCCTAAACACACCTCGAAATCCACGGGGGATTACATCAAGAGGCGTAAACTGAAGGTTTTGCCATGGCCTTCACAATCTCCTGACCTCAACATAATTGAAAATCTATGGATAGACCTTAAAAGAGCAGTGCGTGACAGACAGCCCAGAAATCACAAAGAACTGGAAGACATTTGTAAGGAAGAATGGGCAAAGATACCTCAAACAAGAATTGAAAGACTCTTGGCTGGCTACAAAAAGCGTTTACAAGCTGTGATACTTGCCAAAGGGGGCAGTACAAGATATTAACTCTGCAGGGTGCCCAAACTTTTGCAGACGCCATTTTTTTGTTTTCTGTTATTTTGAAAGTGTAAATGATGGAAATAAAATCTAACTTTTGACATAATATAAGAATGTCTAATCTGTAATTTGATGCCTTTTGGAGATTTTTCCATCTTTCCTTGGCTTCTTTATGCACATTAATACAAATTTTTAGCTGGGGTGCCCAAACTTTCGATCCCCACTGTAATCCTCTAAGCAATTTCTGAATCTGACCAAAAAAAAATTAAACATAATTCTTTGAAATGCATACATTGAGTCATTTTAAATTTTGTATTTTGAGACCCAGGTGAAGGTATGAAACTAGCCTAACTAGTGTACAATGATCATCAGAGCAATGCAATAGCTATTTTTGTCAGCTGCTCAGAAGACATTTTTGGCCTATTCAGTTAGGCAGTGCATGGAGCAAAGTGTGGTGCCTAAAGCAATCAGAATAGTATGCATACTGTACTCCAAGTCCTGAGCTACTAGCCAGGCGTTAGAGTTACTCGCCACCAATAAACACACACAAACAGAGACACCTGTACACACACAGACATGTACATACACACAAACGCACATACACACACAGAAACATGTACCTACACGCAAAGAAACACATGTACACACACACACACACATGCAGACACATGTATACACACACAGGCACGTACAGACACGCATACACATGTACATGCACAGAAATACACATCTCTCTCTCCCCCCGCCCCCCCTCTCTCTCTCTTCCCCCCTCTCTCTCTCTCTTTCCCCCCCTCTCTCTCTCTCTTCCCCTTCTCTATCTCGCTCTCTCTCTCTCTCCCCCTCTCTCTCTCTCTCTCTCTCTCTTCCCCTTCTCTCTCTCTTCCTTTCTCACATCCTATGGGGCTGCACACAAACACCTTCACCAAGGGCTGCTGATCTCCGGGCAGCAGGAAGGGGGGGGTGGTGGGGGAGGTGCAGGCCCATATGATCCGTCAGTGTAGAGAGGGAGGTAGGGAGATCCCACAGAACTCAGCACAGCTCACCTGCTCCGGGCTTATTCCTCTCCGACACTTCTCCTCTCCCTGCTCCAGGCTGTCCTCTGGTCCCGGCTCGTCAGCTGCTGGAGAGAGAGGTACAGGAGCATCGCTCTGCAACTGCCCTCCCCCGCATCGATTTTCCTGCTGTCCGGGCCACTGCAAGGGTACTGGTGCGACCCCTCTGCTGGCGGCCCTGTATGGCTCTGTCCGCTGCTGCCCAAAAGGTACCTTCTTCCGGGGAGCGTTGCCTCAAGGTAGATATGCCCCTGCGCTGGAGGACATACTCGCCCCCACCATAATTTCCACTCGCCATTGGTGAGCAGGCAAGTGGAAATTTCAAGCCCTGCTGTACTCCACATATCATTTTGAATTGTCCAGATATGTCTAGTATATAGTACATATATATTTTATTATCTATCACAGGGATCTCCAGACCTTTTAAGGGCCAGTTTATTATCCTTCAGAATTTAAGGAGGACAGAGAGTGGCCATAGGGAGTAAAAAATGTTGTGGCATCAGTGGGATTAAACAATGCCCTATCCTTGGCATTAGAGAGAGCAATAGTGCCCCATTGTTGGTATCAGTGGGAGGAAAAGTACTCCATTGGTGTCGGTGGGAGGAATAGTGCCTCTATGGCTGGATAAGAGCAGGTAAAGGGCTGCATCTGCTACCTGGGCCACAGTTTGGAGATCACTTATCTAGCAGCATTAGTCATTGAAAATACTATGGTTTTGTAGATGGCATACAAGGGAACTCTTGATTCATATTTTGCAATACTGGCCAGCTACCTCTAGCAACATAATGGTCCTCTAGTAACTCTTAAACTAGCTACAAATACTTAAGTTTAACTTTGTATTTTAAAAATAAGTACCAACTAGTATACATTATCAGTGTGAACTATAAAAAATAATTAGACTTTTATTTTATTTTACAACAAAATATATATTGGCATCTGACTGGTGCAGTTCACGTCAATCAAACATCCATATAACTCTATAGTCAATTTTCTTGTGGACCTTCTTAGTCAGATATATAACAAAATTTTGCAATACCATTGCAGTGAACAGTTCTGCTTGGCTAGACATAATTGGAATGGGTTGGGTAGATAGAAGATGATTTACTAATGAAGTTGAGAATCTTCACTTAAAAACATCTTGAGGATAATACATTGCTCAAAAAAATTAAAGGAACACTTTGAAAACACATCAGATCTCAATGGGGAAATATCATGCTGGATATCTATACTGATATGGACTGGGTAATGTGTTGGGAACGTAAGGATGCTCTATTGTTTAAAAGAAATGAAAATGATCAACTATCAGTTATTAAATGATCAATTATCAAAAAATAATGCAGCAGCTAGTCCAAACCTCAAAAATTATTAATAGCTCTGGCAATGTGGCTCCCACACAGCAATACTTCCCTTAATGGACACACAACAGTAGCTCAAACCATAGAAATACAGAAAAGAGTACTGGATTAAAGCAGGATGAAAAAGATAACTTTGTTGCAGGTGAAGAAAGTCATATAATAACAGCCAACTAATTGTGGGGACATTATTACCCCCCCCCCCTTCATCAGGTCAAAACACAGGATAAAACTTGGATGGACACAAAGACTTCACAGATGCATATTCACACTGGCATTCAAAGCAGGTGTTTGAGGGATGTTAATGGTCCTCAAACACCTATGCAGATGATACTATGGGTAGCACACAGTGCTGTTCATATTATCAAAGCATGAAATGTTAGAGTTGTGTCGCTTCAAAATTGAAGCCACATGTCGAGTCAGGAAGAGTTTGAAGCCTTTCAACGCCTCCCATGCAAGTCTATGGTGACGCTCCACAAAGGCTCTTGCAGGCGTGTGCAGGGCATTTGCAGTGCAGTTGCGGAGCCTTAATAACATTACTGTTTATTATAGGAGTTTGTGGTGTGGTTTTAAAGCTTGTAAAAGTGTTATAAAACGTTTCACAACTGCACATAGGGCATTTGGGGAGTGTTTTAATGCTTGTAAAAAGTCATCAGTATTGAACTCTCCTCATGGAGTGAGAGCTTGACAGTAGTCGGTGAGCAAGTTTTGTCCTGTGTTGAGCCCTGATGGTTCTGCCCCTGAAATGCATTGGCTGTTTTTAGGTTATTTTTTTACCAACATTTAGGCTACATGTACACTGGAACTGCTGTAGACGTTAGCTCTACTGGCAGCAGAAAAACGCAAAAACACGTGTAAATGCAGTCCAGCGTTTAGCTGCATTTAGCGCTTCGATGTTTATTCATTTCATTGGCTAGAGTACTTTCCATTAAAATGAATAAACACCCAAGCACTAAAGGAGGGCAGTGCTTAGGAACATTTACATGCGTGTTTGCGGCATTTGACTTTTTTTGGCCAAAATGTTCCTCTCCAGAACACAATTCTTCTGCGTTCAGGAGAGGGATGTTTAGCTACCCCTAAACCGTGCTGCTGCTGCTAAATTCTGATAAAAGCCTATGTGTGCACAGACACATAGGCTTTTATTGAGTTGAGTTCAGGAGCTTTGACCAAAAAAAAAAACGCTAAAAGCTCCTAAACTCACATGTAGGAGCAGCAGTGTACATGAAGCCCTAACATTATTTGGGACTCCTTCTTCCAGTTTTGGCTTGGTGCTCTTTTTTATGGGTTTGAGCAATTTTACAACAAGCCTATTTTTACATCTGTGAAAAGCTTTATTTTACGAAATGAAAACTGTGTTATTTGTATGTACTACACAGGATAAATCAGTTTTAATAGTTACCTTTTCGGAAGAAAACATTCCCAAGATCTCCATGTGTGTTACTGGATTTCTCCTTCATAGACGAAAAAGTAGTTTTTTCCTGTACCAACTCGATTTGCTCATCTGTCAAAGCTAAGCCATAGAAGTCACATATTTTTTTCAGCTCTTTCGGAAGGTCCTTTAGACAGGAAAAACATATAAATAGCAGTTATTGCTTTAATGATATATTTTCAATAGCACAAGTTTATGTCACTTCGTCTGCAGTATTGTAGGGCTATAGTCAATCAACTCACCATAGGGAAGGCTAACTTTCAGCTTCATCTTATTCACAAATGGGATAGGCTCTCATGATTGAACAATCAAGAAATAAGGGGAGACTACTGATAGCGGACGAATGGGGGATGTGGGGGGAGGGGGTATGAGAAGGATTACAGATCTACACATTAGAGATGTCACACCGTCTGTTGCTACTACTCCAGCTGGCATTATGCTGGCAAGGCCTCTATGACTAACCGCTTCCCACCCAGGCACTGCACATAAAACACTCGGGTGGGAGCTCTCCCATATTCAGTGGACGATCTTGAAAGTCCTCTCAGAATGTGCGCCTCATGCGGCCTCAAGGCCGAACACAGCACCTCACATGATCAGGACATGGGTGCAGTGATTGGCCCTCCCGATCACATGACGGCTGTGTACAATTACAGCCATCACTCAGTGTAAACAGAGACATGTGTCTCTATATCTGAGCTTCTCGCTGAGCTCAGTGAGTGCTCAGTGTGGGGGGTGAGGTGGATGCTGCAGCTTGTGACAGCTCTCTGCATAGCTGATGAATTTGTTGTTCAGGTATGCAGAGAACACACAGATTTCAGCCATCCCCACACAATACACCAAGCACCATCTCTCCCACTCCAAGTGTCACATCAACATCTGTACCAGTGTAACAGTGCACACAACATCTGTCACAGTGTACTAGTGTCCAATCAACATCTGTCACAGTGTACCAGTGTCACATCAACATCTGTCACAGTGTACCAGTGTCACATCGACATCTGTCACAGTGTACCAGTGTCACATCGACATCTGTCACAGTGTACCAGTGCACAAAAACACCTGCAATAGTGTCCTATTTCAACATCAACATCTACTGCCAGTGAACAGTGTACAAGTGCACAAAAACATCTGTCAGTGTACCAGTGTCCCACCAATAAATAAATTAAAAAAATGTAAAAACACCCCCATGCTTGCATGCAATGGCGAATGTATGAGTTGGCCTCATACGCGTATGTAAACAGCAATCCAACCACACATGTGAGGTATTGCCAGGGCAATAATTCTAGCACCAGACCTCCTCTGTAACTTTAGACTGGTAACCTGTAAAGGCTTATAAAAAGGCGTCGCCTATGGAGATTTTTAAATACCAAAGTTTGGCCCCATTTCACAAGCATGCGCAATTTTAAACCATGACATGTTTGGTATCTATTTACTCGGCCCAACACCATGTTTTATAATTACCAACAAATTGGTTATTATATTGTGTTTTTGTGCAATACAATATATTAAAATGTATTTTTGCATTAGTTTGTAACATTGCATTAAAAAAAAGCCGCAAAAATACCATGTGACATAAAAATTTAAAAACCCCTCATTTTATTTTCTAGGGCCTCTGCTAAAAAAAATATAACATGTTAGGGGGTTCTAAGTTCTAAAGAAATACTGGTTTTTACTTAAACAAAAAGTGTCAGAAGGTAGCCTGGTCTTAAAGTGGATAACGCTTGAAGGGGCTCCTTGGGTGCTGGGCCTCACTTTGTGGCTAGGCTGTGAAAAAGTCTCACACATGTGGTATTGCCATGCTCAGGAGAAGTTGCAGAATGTGTTTTTTGTGTGTAGTTGCAAGTATGACTATGCCATGTGTGAGAAATAACTTGTTAATATGACATTTTTGTGGAAAAAAACACATTTTATTTAATGTCCTCCTTTTCCAAAGAATTGTGGACAAAAATTACAACTTCAACTACAAGCTTGTCATGCTTCTTACTAAATACCTCAAACCATCTACTTTCCAAAAAGGGGTGAAGGGGGGGAAGTATTTGCTTTGTCCTGGCATATTAGGGCTTCAAGAAATGAGATATGCTGTCAGTACATCAGGTGTGATCAAGTGTGATCAATTTTTAGTGGTTGGTACCATAGCTTGTAGACTCTATAACATTCACACAGACCAAACAATACACACTGATTTGGGTTATTTTTTACCAAAATAAATGTAGCAGTATAAATTTTTATTTATGAAGAAAAATTACTTATTTTCAAAATTTTATAACAGAAACTAAGAAAAACACTTTTTTTCAAAATGTTCGTTCTTTTTTTGTTTATAGCACAAAAAATTAAAAACCCCAGTGGTGTTTAATTACCATTAAAGAAAGCTCTATCTGTCTAAAAAAAATCATATCAGCACAGTGGTGCACAACTGAGTAATTATCATTCACAGTGCGACAGCACTGAAAGATGAAAATTGGCCTGGGCAGGAAGGGTGTGAAAGTGCTCAGTACAAAGGAGGTTAAGCCCTAAATGGGCGAGATGCATTAGAGGGGTTCTCTTATGGATGGAGAACTAAACTGAAGCCAATTCTCATCATCTTTTATTATTTTTCTTGTTCAAATATTTAATTGATGGCAAAAAAAGTGACACATTTAGGTCATAAGCTTGCATAATGAGTATCAGCCATTCAATAGGAAAGGTAACAAAAAAAAGCAACTTAATTAAAAATGAAAGATGACAAAGCACCAATATTAGAGACATAGACGCTTGAGGACATGAGGCAAGGGGTGGGGGGGCTTATTTAAGCTGTATGCCTAGGGAAGAGCGCACCTTTTTGAATACCACAAAAGGGAGTAGGGAGGGAAGGGTCTGAAAGGGATGGAGGAGGCAAGAGAAGGGAGGAGTAGAAAGAGAAAAAAGCTGAGATCAACAGAAAGAAATTGATGAGTAGTAAAGTGGGTGTCCTATGGGTGGGACTAGAAAACTCCCAACCAAGGACATGAGGCAGTCCATAGAGTAGCCGCAATGTGATAGTCATGAACATAGTGAGGGGTGCAGTGACCTGCATCAGGGTTCAAGTGGCCAACTAAAAATGCACATATATAAGTGGGTGACAATAGTAGTGCAATAAAATAAAAAAGACCCAGCTAGATATAGGCTATAGGGAGGATTGGAGCAGAGGTGGGGGGAAGGCCGAGGCCCACTATGGAAGGGGAAGTGGGAGGAGATCCTCTTCACCCTATATCTGTGGGATGTAATAAGGGTTTAGGTCCAAATTAGCACAGAAAATGCCCCCTTCTGCAGTGTTGTCAGTAATAGCCAGACCAAAACCAAAAGCAACTTACGAAGTATAAAAAAACCCAGCAGTATATAAACTTGTCAGTAGTAAGCTCAGCCTTTAATGCTGATAAGCTCGCCACTGAGAAGTATATTATTTATAACGCAAAAATTACATTCATTACTGATACCAACAATAATAAAACCCAGAACATGGATAGATTAAATAGAAAATTTAGCTTAGACCCAGTGGGCTTGGCATAGGGACCTTTTGAGCGGCAGGAGCTTAGGTGTTGGCACATAGTAAGAGCAAACAATGTAGGTAGAGGATTAGGTGCATAACCCTTCCTCTAGTTTTGTGGAGGATGAAATAAGGGGAGGGAGGTGGTCTAATGGGATAAGGGGGAGGGGCACCTGAGGCTCACAAGAACTCTAGGGTATGCATTGTAAAGATAAAGATTATTTGGGGTAGAATATGGGGAAGTGGGAAGGGGAGGTAGAAAGGGTAGGGAAGGAAAAAGGTAAAGGAAGGAAATAGGGATAGGAGGATATGTGTAACCTTTGGGAGGGAGGGATTCGTAAGTGGACCAAAGATCCAGAGAAAGAGGAACACTGGGAGAGGTGTTCATAATATGTAGTATTAGATCCTATGAAGCCAATATATTTAGGATTTAGGTAAGTCAAAAAAGGGGCTGGCCAGGAAAAGAGATGAGATTGCAGCCATAAATCAGCCGGCAATGGTCTGTTAGAGACGCCTTTGGAGTTAAGAGACTCGTGTAGCTTCCTTGGAGAGCAGGATGTAGAACGTTGTGGGAGCCTTCTGTAGCGAGATCAGTGGAAAGCAGTTGGAGGTCTATAAGGACTGATCAGAGATCATCTGAGGATCTACAGGTGTGATGAGATCCTTGGTACAAGAAGCTGAAAGAGAAGGGGAAACCCCTTTTGTAGGTGATATGATGTTGTTGTAGGATCTGCAGATAGGGCTTCAAAGTGCATCTCTTAGAGATGGTCAGTGGAGAGAGGTCCTGGAACATTTAGTAATTGTGGTTTTGGAAGACCAGAGAGCTCTTGTTCCTGGCTGCCTTCATCAGTTGTTCCTTGGTTTTAAAAAAGTGGAGCTGATGACTACATCACAGGGAGGGCCCTCAGATAGCTGGAGAGCTAAAGCTTTATGGACTCTGTCCATTTACCAGGCAGTCAATAGGAATAGAGGGCACCAGCTCTTGGAACAGTGCTGTAACTGTTGATTGAAAGTCAATGATAATTTCGGGGATCCTGATCTGCGGGCCTTATTCTCAAAGTTTTCAAGGCAAGATTGTTATTTGAGATTTTCTTCCCACAGAGCCTCCAGTTCCTCTGAATGGTTAGCCGTAAGAGCTTCAATGTCATCCACTCTAAGTTTGTGTTGTCTGAGTTCACAGATTTTGCAGGATAGTCTGTTAGTGGTATGGTTGGAGGTCTGCTTTAAAGCCTTGTTGAGCATCTGCACAAACTGGTGAAATAGATCGGGGGTTGTGTAGCTAATTCAGTGATCTCAAGGTCTGTATCAGATTCACCATCAGCAATGGATGGTTGCTGTGTCTGCCTCTGTGAGCTTGGCGCACTCTGCTGAGAAGATGGAGCCATCTCCATCTTGGATGATGCTCGGACGAGGACGTCTTGGATGGATTTTGGCTTTGTCTTCTGTTGTGCCCCTTCATACACCATCACAGCTGAAGCTCAGCGATCACCGTGCTCCGAGGGTGCGATGGGTGTTCTAAAGGCTGCCAGTTCGAGGCTGAAGATCATCTTGGGAACCCGAGAGCAGCAGAGCTCTATTCAAGCATGTCCTGCTTGGATGGCTTTGTGCATGCCATTCCTATATTTTATCAATTTTTTATCTTTACAATCTTCTGATCCAGTGTGCAGCCAGGTGCCATTTTTCTGTATAGATATAACATCTCAGAGCCTCAAAGAAAGCCAATGCTGGAAGATCTTAGGTCTGCACTGGGAGCAGATAGCTAAATAAAGCTCAGCAGCTGACACAGACTGCAGGTCACACTCTGATTGAAATTTGAATGGGAGAGTAGCTTCATTTAGGAATTCCAGCTTAGTCCTCCCCTGTTGTCTTTTTTGAGAAACAGAAACATTTAAAACACTGAAATGGCACCAAATAATGCTCAAGAACATCTATTGTAGTTTAAACAAACGGTACAGACTGTTGGTGGTATCATTGCACCAAGTGAACTGCAAAAGCTGATCAAAAGCTAAGTGTAAGGAGTAAATTCTTAATTAAATCTGTAAGTCCTTATGATATAATTATATATTAATATATTGATGTATGTTGTATTGTACATAAATTTACTAAACAAAGTCTGTACCAAATTGTAAGAATAAAAGTAGAAGCAGTTTTTAGTTTTACTACGATTCACTATTAATTTTGACATAAAATTTAGATTTAGTTTTAGTCATAGTCTTTGGAATAAAATGCCATTTTAGTTTTAGTTGTATTTTAGTCATCTGAATTTTGTTAGTTTTATTCATATTTTATTATTCAACCAAAATCTCCAGTACATTTTAGTCAACTAAAATCTTCAGTACATTTTGTGGATGAATGTGTGGAAATGCATAGGAAAGGGAAATGACCGATGCTTCAGTTTATTAGAGAGCAGAGCGCTGACTCCGCGAAGCAAAAACTTGTGATGAGGGGGGAGGGCATAGATTAAGAGAAATTAGATGGGAGCATGCAGTTTACTTTTCAGGGATGTGGAGGTGACCTGAAAATGGGGAAGTAAATGGGGGTGAGGGAGTGCACAGGGTAAAGCGCATTATACTTTGGGGATGGGAAGGTGACCTGCAAGTGAAGACTGGAAGGGAAGTAAATGGGAGTGAGGGAGTGCACAGGGCAGAGAACTGGACAGTCTGGTGAGGCTGTTTTTGTACACAGTGCAAAGCATTGTTACCTTATTGGGAGGGGAAACACTCACCACGCCACATCCAGACGGACACGAATCCGACAGAGGAGTTCCTATTCTGTGGTTTGCAGGGCATTGTTCCACAACTCCCAGACAGCAGGTCAGCCAATACAGATTGCCAATAGAGTCAGGGGGCTGGGGCTTTAACAGACAGGAAGCTCGAGAGAAAGCAGAAGTTCAGGTGGGTAAAAGTCCCTCCCTCACATTTTCATTTCGTTTTCATTCATTGGTGAAAATTAGAAATGAACTTTGTCATAGTTTTCATCAATTGACTTAATTCTAATTTTATTTTAGTTTCGTTTTCATCACTGAAAACATGCAGGTGGTGAAGACTATGACGAAAATATATTCATCAAGAAATGAACACTGCTATGAACAATAGAAGTGATTGGGATTACTATAGACTATAGGGCATACAATTACCATTTTCATTTCTTCAAATGTAAGTACAAGGATGTTCCCATTATCGATATGTTTCTCCCACTGAACAGTATAATCAAAGTACGATCCATAGATCACTAAAATAAAGACAATATACAATACTCACATTACCATAAAACACAGACAATTTTACATCACTAACCCAGCCATCTCTTTTCCTGCCATTCTGAAGGAGCTCTGCTCCTATCAATCTCTATCAAACTTTAAAGTAAGTTTACAAAAATTATAAACCCTCAATATTTCCCTTTCAGCAACCACCTATCATCCATATGCCCCAACTTCCCATTTCTTTTAGCTGAACAACCTATCCAGTACCTAGGGACAAAAATTTCTTCAAACCTGAGGCTTTTCTCTAAACAAAACATTTTGCCTACCTTAACAACACTAAGCAGATCTGAAGAAATGGAAAAAGTCGGCACTATCGTTGCTTGGCAGGTACAATCCTTCTTTAGAGTGGTTTGGGATGAATGTATTAAATTTATTTGGCAGGGTAAAGCAGCCTTTATTACCCAAACTACTTTGCTCAAATTCATATCAAGGGGATGATTGGTTTTCCTATACCCTGCCATGTCCTACACAGCAGTGCATATGGCAAGAGGGTTGGACTGTTGTAGGAACGGTTCACAAAAGCTCCTGCTGTCTCTTGAATAAGATTCCTTCCCATTTTCCTTGGATGGAATTCCCTGCACTGGGAAGAAAGTAATACCCGGGCCAACTTTACTTGAAATAGACAGATGTAAATAAAATATCAGATTTGCAGAGCTCCCTCCCCCTTTTGACACCCATTATTGGCCACCCAAACTGTGTCCCTGGCTTTTAAGATGGAAGGTTCAGAAATTGGTTCGGACAGGAACTCATGCAAGCCTTAAATCTCCTGCCCTCTGAAAGATGGGTGAATATCATGGACCTTCAAACTCACTCTGCTACTGCAGACCTGGAAATGTTGAGATACCAAAAACTCACCACTTTCTCCATTCCTTGCCTAGACCAGTAAAAAAACAGCTTTCACCATTTGAGGAGCTCTGTCAAGACAGAGGCATGATAAGGAAAACCTTTTCTATATCCTACCAAATATTAATTGGAAACATTTCCAAAAATGATTCAAATACCTATCCAAATGGGAGAAGGACTTAAATTAAATACCATTCTCCAATATTTAGAAACTGAATTCTATTCTTTGTGCCTAAAGCCACAATTAGCAGTAAGTACCAAAAAATTATTGATGTACAGGATCCTAAACTGTACTCAAAGTGAACTTCATTGTCTCAATCAACAATTGCTATTTTGAGTCGGTAGCATTATTAAATAGATAGGATATTCTATCATATTTACTTGTTTTAAAATATTTTTGCATTTCTTTAGTCATTTCCTAGGTTCTATGCCTAGGCAAATTATGTCACATATCCCAGGAATCTTCAGGAGGGGATGAGGGATTTTCTCAGCTAAGCACACCCTCCTGCCTGTATGCCTGAAGATGGCCATGGCCAGAAATCCTGGGGGTGTTTTTCTAAGTGATTTCTCTACAAAATAAATCATGGAGACATGGATGGATGGGGAAGTTTGCTTTGACAATTAAAAATGAATTAAATAGCGCTTTTGATTTGTGCTGCTCAGATACAGTGTACGTCCACTTTAAAAACTATTTCAAAGGCAAAGTGACCTGTGCTGGAGATGTAAGACACACAATTGTACATTTCTGCACATATTTTGGGAATGCTGTTATATCTGCCCATTCTGGCAAAAGGTCCATCAAATAATGTGACAATTTAACAGACATTTCCATTATTAATTATTAATTATTATTTTTTATTATTATTATTAATTTACTAGCAGGTGTCTTTTTAAATCTCCACTACACCTCTTTCTAGAAAATTATACAGAAAATCACTACTTATACATTTCTTGAATGCCCCAAAGGCCTGTATCCTAAGTATGTGGAAATAACAGTCTCTACCCACTGTAGCTCAATGGTTTGCCAGGGTGAACGATATGCATGGAGCAACTTACAGCTGCCCTGAGGGATAGACTGATGTGAATTTACAATATACATGTAAAAGCGCTGCGTAAATTGATTGTGCTCAATAAAGAAAACTGGAAGCTGATTGGCCTCTATGCATAGAGGCCAGTCAGCTTCCAATTTTCTTTGTCAAAGCTTAATTGAACAAGCTGAAGTGAGAAGCTGATTGGCTACCATGCACAGCTGCACCAGATTTCGCACACTCCAGTTTTAGTAAATAACCCCCAGAGTGTCTACTGAATATTTACAATTTTGAGAAGCCCTCTCTACTTTCTCATTTGTTTGCTCCAGGGGGCACTTTCAAGGACACCCTATCTGATCCCTCCCCTTTAATTTAAGAATTTCGTACCATTATTATTATTGTTATTATTCTTTTCTCTACCCCGAGAACCCTCCCTGCTTCTTTCCTTCCCCTATTCTCAGCACTTTTCCCCCTTCATCCCTAGCCTTAAAATTGTAACAAAAACTGGTGAGAATCGGACTCACACATGTAACTGACGATATGCCCCTTCTAAGGCCTCGTTCACACAATATGTGCAGAAAAAACAGATGGAAACTGACATGCAGATTTAATTGCAGAGACATTAGTTGACATCAGTTTTCATGCTTGCATCAATGAGTTTTATACACGTTTTAGATTCTGCAAAATCTACATGTGATACTAGTGTTGAGGTGTGAACAGGGCACATAGCGAACAATTGATTTAGTTGTGCCCTTGAAGAATGCATGTTTGGTGTGAATGAGGCCTTAAGATGTGACAATTGATACTCATTTATTTTTTAAAGTTACAATTTACTTTGAAAGTGATCACACTCTATTCCTTTGGTACATCAACTCCCCCCCCCCACCCACCCCCCCCCCCCACCCCCCCCCCCCCCCCCCCCCCCCCCCCCCACCCCCCCCCCCCCCCCCCCTTTACCTGTAGGTTTAGCTCTTGAACCAAATGGCAATTAACAGGTAAAGTTTTTACATTTGACGGAAGGAAACTTTTGATGCTAAATCCCCTTTTATGAAAAAAATACTGACAATAATGCTAACATTTTTCAAAACTTTACAAACTATACCAATTCAGTTTTATATTCTATGTGTATACGTTGTCCTCTTGGTCATATCGCCTTTTTTTCTCTGTAACCTGAATGTTTCATTTCTGCTGTACTTTTTTTTTTTTTTTTTTTTTTTTAAATTAATATATTGAACAAGAAAAACATTAAAGAGCATGATACAGTTGTACATCTAAAAATATGTCAGTAAAACAGGTGACAAAACAGTGTGTTTGATATACTTTGTTTTGCCTCTTTTTTAGTGCACTTCTTTTTATAACTGTACACTTTTAAAAACATCAAGTCAGTACCATTTCCAGTTATATAATCCTTGAAGAATAAGTCCCAAGATTCATATGTGGGAAGCACGGGATTCTTGTTTGAGAAATGGTAGTAAGACACAGCTGTATCTTTTGGATTCCGAAGAATAAGTAACATCTGCAACAAAAACAGAGTTAAAAATTGGTAGGAAAAAAAAGGATTGTGTTACTTCAGCAGCATATGCACATGATTATTATTATTATCATATTTTTGCTCATGATCATAATATTTAAAGTTGCACAATTCATTATATTTAAAACAGAACTCTGGGCAAAACCTTCTTTACAGTTCCTTGTTGTTGATTTCCTATCTTCACTGAATATGGCATTCATCTTCTGCATCACTCAGTAGTTGCTCTGAAATAGCCTATTCATTTTCAAATCAAACCATTAATACTCTTTGTTTTCCTGTTTGTAAGACTGGTGGCTGCTATGCCTCCTATTCCCCCAGCCCCTTGGCACATTCCTTTTGTAGTTCATACAAAAGGAAGCAATGATGTCATGCAGCCTCACTTGAGTGTTGGGCAGACCAAGACTCAGACACATTCAAAATGTACAGGCCTAGTGTAGCTGCCCACATTCACTACAATTCCCTGTGGTTGATGGGAACTGTAGTTTCCTTTTACTGCAGAGAGAGAGGAGATGATATGATGTAACCCCTGCTGTTACACCTACTCCTTGGCAGAGTAGATGCTGTTATCTTTTGAATTACAGAGATGAGGTCATGAAAATTCAATCAGACTTTTCCCCTAAATGGTAAGGATTTTCAGAATTGTATTAACTGTTTAGTGTATTGTGTAGGGGGTGTACTAATGGGTGATTTTGTTTGCCTATGCTGGAGTTCTTCTTTAAATATATTGTTCGGTTGTAAAATTAAACTTTTATCTAAGGCTCTAAGGTTCTTATTTTAGATTTGGAATGTAATTGGAATTGTTAAAACCCCTGTCAATTTGGTTTTTGCTATGCCCCACTGGGGATTTTTTCCTTAAAGGCATTATGAACCTTTCTTCCTGCACTGTGTATTTTTCACCTGCATAAGCTATGCATTAATTATGTAGTTTCATAGTGTTGCCCTGTACTCCCTGCCAATAGTAGAGTAAATCTTCCCATTCTGGTGTCAGCAGTTTGTGTTCAAACATGAGACACGCAACAAGGCATTGCACAGGTTACTGCATGATCTCTCTCTGTAGTCTAAAAACTGACACTTACTGTGAAGAAACTACAAATTCCATAATCCTAGGGTCTCTCAGTCTATTCTTGAGGGCTGATAAATAGATCTGACACAGACACACGCAGGCAGAGAAAATAACACAGAGATCACTGTTTCATTACATTATCATGCCAACATTTGTGATGCAATACAGAGGTAATGGTGAGGCATTGCACTGGATGCTTTCTGACCCTTAACAAAAAAATGCCCTCCCTTTTGTCAATAGGGACAAGCTAGGTGAATAAATACATGGGCATGTGACATGTATGACCAATGAATCATACCAGTTTTTACGGTATTTCCAAAGCTTCGTCTTTGAGGAAGGCAATGCAAACACCTGAGTTGCCATAACTATTCATAAGTTTTTGGGGAAGGGGGAGATCCTTCCCAATTTTATTAATGACAGTTGATTTGGAATTTTTAAATTAGCATAAACTGATCAGCCATAACATTAAGATCACTGACAGATAAAGTGAATAACATTGATTACCTTGTTACTTTGGCATTGAAAAGGCGGTAGGCTATATTAGGCAGAAAGTAAACATGTTATCCATAAAGCTGATGTGTTGAAAGCAGATTTAATGGGCATTGCAGTTTGTTGTGCATGAGGCTGCGTAGCCGCAGTCCAGTCAGGGTGCCCATGCTGACCCATGTCTACAGCCAAAACCGCCTAATGGGCATGTGAGCATCAGAACTGGACCATGGAGCAATGGAAGAAAGTGGCCTGATCTAATGAATCACACTTTTTTGTTACATCATGTGGATGTCTGGATGTGTGTGCGTTACTTACCTGGGAACAAGATGACAGCAGGATGCAATATGGGATGAAAGCAAACCAGCGGAGGCAGTGTGATCCTTTGGGCAATGTTCTGTTGGGAGACCTTGGGTCCTGCCATTCATGTGGATGTTACTTTGACATGTACCACCTTCCTAAACATTCTTTCTGACTAAGCACACACCTTCATGGGAAGAATATTCCTTGATGGCTGTGGCATCTTCTAGCAGGATAATGTGCCCTGCCACAATGCAAAAATGGTTCAAGAATGGTTTGAGAAACAAAGCAAGTTTGAGGTGTTTACTTGGCCTCTAAATTATCCAAGTCTCAATGCAATCGAGCTTCTGTGGGAAGAACAAGACTGATCCATGGAGGCCCCTCCTCACCCTATTCTCCCATATATATTTATGTGCTCAACCACTTTAACTATTCGCTGCAATGCAAGTTCATTTTCTCCAAAGCAACAGATGTGCATTGATACAAAACAGAATGCATGAAAGCACTGTCATGCCTGGTAGTTCAACTGTTACAAAAATACCAGCATTTTTAATGTGTTTTAGTGTGTTAGACAGTCCAATCAAATGAATGCAAGAAAAACACTGTGAGGAAATTATAGGTGATACAACAGGGGATTGGATAACTCTATAGAAAAAAGTACATACTGTAACTAATGGTCCAATTTTTTTTTGTAAGTTTGCAAGAAAGGTAAACTTACTCTTAAAGTATCATTAAACCCACATCCTTAAAAACTGTCAGTACATGCTGTATTACATGCTATTCACACCCACTCAGTCACTATTGGATTTGTTTTTTGTATTCTGCATTCACTGATGCCCCCCTTGACTATGTCCCTGCTGTAGCCTGAGATTGCGTAGACTAGCCGTATCTACTGAGCATGCTCCTGTATCAGTTTTCTTCTATGCTGTTCATTTCCTCCTTTTTCTTATCTGTTCAGCCTACATAACTATAGAGTCACAAATGTGAACAGGCTGTGATTTGCAGAATCTTCCCCTAGACTGCCCACACCATATTTTGGACAAAAATAATAAAGATCTGAGTTAAAATACATATTTGTATGCCAATTTAAAACATTTATTTGATATTCTGTATTTTTATGGGGGCTTTTTTGGAATATGTGATTGGCAGCAGAGGACTAGAAGCTCCTCATGCTGATGTTTGCCTGCAGATGGGCTGGGAAAGACCTGGGTCACATGACAGCTTTATATCGAGTATGAAAAAAGGTATTTAGATGTATTTTTCAAAAGAGAAGGCAAATTGTAAATGAAACAGTGTGTGATTAGTGTCACTTTAATATACTATATAGCTGAAAACCTAAATATACAAAAATATATTCTTAAATGGTTCTACATGCTCATTTATACTATACCTTGGTCTTCTTTTCAAAAAAGGTGTTAGGAATATTTTCATATGAAATATGTGATGCTAAAAGTCTTGGTGATGGCTCTTGATTCAGATACTTTAGAGAAGGAAAATAAAAATTATTGGTAATGTAAACTTCTTTTTATTTATTTTTTTTTCATCAAGAAATAAAATATGTACAGAGGAATAGGGGAAGAAATCATTTGCCTGTTGGCATCACAGATGAAGCAAAGGTATTCCTGTTCAGATCCCCACCCCCCACTCCCCCTGCAGGTTGCCTACATTAGTCAGTTAGCAGTGGCATCTTTTGGCATCACAGATGAACCAAATGTATTCCTGTCCACATCGCCACCCCCCACTCCTCCTGCGGTTTGCCTACATTAGTCAGTTAGCAGTGGAGTCTTTTGGTATCACAGATGAAGCAAAGTTATTCCTGTCCATATCCCAATCCCCCACTCCCCCTGCAGGTTGCCTACATTAGTCAGTTAGCAGTGACTGGCCTAGGCCACGAAAAGGATTAATTTGATTTTCTTTGGACCACGTTTACCCACCCTGTGAGGCATATATAAGGAGGAAGACCGGGTACAGAGGACTCTAGGCTTTCTCTGGGCTTATGAAGAGGCCATGACATCCTGCTACAGACTTCTGTGCCCTGCAGTCTGCTCGAGGCCAGCTTACCGGAGAACTGTCACTTTATGGATTTTCACCATTATTTGACTCAACTACTGAGTTCAGGACAGAATGCATTGGTGGTGTTGGTCCACTGTGCTTCATTAAGTCCAGGGTCAACACAGCCGTCTACCAGGAGATTTTGGAGCACTTCATGCTTCCTTCTGCAGACGAGCTTTATGGGGATGCTGACTTCATTTTCCAGCAGGACTTGGCACCTGCTCACACTGCCAAAAGCACCAAAACCTGCTTCAATGACCGTGGGATTACTGTGCTTAATTGGCCAGCAAACTCGCCTGACCTGAACCCCATAGAGAATCTATGGGGCATTGCCAAGAGAAAGATGAGAGACATGAGACCGATACAATGCAGAAGAGCTGACTTTCGGCTATAAAAAATATATAATAAACTCAAAGTTAGTCATAAATTTAGGCCAAAATGTATTCTGCTACATGTCTTTGGTAAAAAAAAATCCCAATAGGTGTATATTGATTGCTTTGTGTGAAAGTTATAGCATCTACAAACTATGGTATAGATAATAGAATTTACACAGCTTTTACTTTCTGGCTGCTTATCACATTTCTTGAGAAATAAAATAAATCATTTAAGTGACAATTTTGTATAGAAAAAATGTTTTTTCTTTTTATCATTTTCCAAAAACTTGTGGTAAAAAAATAAATTCTTCTATTGACTCAACATGCCTTTCAGCAAATAGTTTGGGGTGTCTACTTTGCAAAAAGGGGTCATTTTGGGGAGGTGGGTGGGGGCATTTTATGCCCCCACCCACCTCCCAGCATTAGAAGTTTATGCCACGCATCACTCACTCTTCTAACCACCTGAAGACCAAACCTTTTCTGACACTTTTTGTTCACATGAAATAAATCAGTATTTTTTCTTGGAAATTACTCTGAACCCCCAAACATTATATATTTTTTTAAAGCAAACACCCTAGTTAATAAAATTGTGGGTGCTGCAATTTTTGTATGTCGCATAGTACGCAGTGATTTTTCAAACGCAAATTTTTTTTTTTTGCTTTTAATGCACAAAAACACAATATATTGGCTGCAGGTGCATGATCGGGGGGGGGGGTGAGGGTGCTTTTTTTTAAGTTAATTTGATTTTCTAAAATTATTTTTACACTGTCCCTTTCATTTTTTTTAATCACTTTTAATTCACAGGGAATGCAAATATCCCCTATAACTTCAATGGGCATTGTCATATATTCTTTTTTGAGAAATCTGGGGTCTATCAGACTCTAGATATCTCCTCTGCCCCTTACATTATCTAATCTCACCAAGATTGGTGTGATCAGATGCTTTCCCAATTTATAAATGGCGCTGTTTATATACTGCAAAACTGAAATGCTCGTAGCTTTCGATTTCTTAGACTATAGAGATGATTGGCCAATTCCGGTCTCCAATCAGCTCTATGGTCAGCTGGCAGAAACACTGGCTGCATTCTCAGGTTCCCCCTATGGCACGGGACTGCCCGAGAAGGCCGTGGAAGGCAGCGGGAGGGGGGGCATCTTCTCCCGCTGCTTGTAAAAGCAATCCTGCAGCTAATTTTCCACTAGGATTGCTTTTACATAACCACTCAAAGTCCAGTGATATACCAGTACGTCACTGGTGCTTGTGTGGTGTACATGCTATGTTCTTTTTTTTTTTTTTTTGCAGCCTGTGGGCTGAATGAAAAAAGATAAGAAATCTCTGCCAGAAAAAGTGTGTGGTTTTGAGGATTGGGCCACACCACCTTCTGGATACAAAACTGCCATGATGATTTCTTCCTGGAATTTTAGGAAGGATTTACTTTGTTCAGTTGCTTTGTAAATTTCAAAAGCACCTTTTTGTACCAGTGTCAAGCTTCTGGGAGACTAGGTGTGGATTCATCATTTGGTTGTTGAAGTTTACCCCCCCCCCATGTTAAGGTTATAGTTGTGGACACAGAGGGGTTTCCCAACAACGCCAGATACCGTGTTAATTTGGACTGTCGCGTCTGCGTGAATGGAAGACAGGACAAAAACATCCCATTTGTCCTTCCACTTTATTGCGAGCAATTCATCATTCCTCAAGTAGGCTTTGTCCCCCTTTCTAAGTCGGGTATTTAAAAGCCGTTTGGGGAAGCCCCAGCAATTAGGTTGCACGGTACCACGTGAGCCAATTCCAAGATTGTACAAATGTCTAAATAGTGGCACGCTTGTATACAAATTGTCCACGTATAAGTGGTACCCCTTACTGCCACTGCTCCCCATGTAGTCTGGGCAATCGGGGGGCTCTACTCCATTGCCTCTTCCCTCATAAACCCTAAATTTGTATGTATAGCCTGTGGCCCTCTCACAGAGCTTATACAATTTGACCCCTTATCTGGCACGCTTGCTGGGATGTACTGTTTGAATGCAAGGCGGACAGTAAAGTGAATGAGGGACTCATCCACGCAAATGTTTTGCTGGGGCGTATACACATCTGCAAATTTCTCAGTGAGGTGGTTTATGAGGGGCCAAATTTTGTAGATCTTGTCATGTTCAGGGTCATCCTGAAGATGACAAAGTGTGTTATCACTGAAATGCATAAAGCGCATTATCGTCTCATATCAATGCTTGGTCATGGCCGCAGAGAACACAGGCATATGATGAATCGGGTCTGTGGACCAATACGAATGCAACTCATTCTTTTTTGTAATGCCCATGTTGAGGGTTAGGCCCAAAAATGTTTTAAATTTGAAAACCGTAATGGGTTTCCATGCAAATGGTCTGGCAAGGTTTAAATGTGGGTTTGTGGCAATATATTGTTGAGCATATAAATTGCTTTGGCCCACAATCAAATTGTACAAATCTTCTGTGAAAAGCAGCTCCATAAAATCAAAGGGAGTTAAATTTACTGTTTCCACCTGAATTCCAGGTTGGGCAGTGAATGGGGGAAGTACGGGTGCTGCAGAATCTGTGGGCTCCCAATCAGGATTTGCAAGCATGTCCAGAATGACACTATGGGCTCTACGGGCCTGTGTATGATTTCTTGGTGGCTGCGAGACACTACTTGTACTTCTCACCGCACCAGCTTGTACTACAGTTATGGGACTCGCCACATCACCAACTGATACTGCAGTGCTGGTATGTGAAAGACCAGGATATATTAGGCTGCTGGTGCTCGCCAGTTCACCAAAAGGTAGTGCAGCACTAGTACTGGCACTCTGTTGCATATGGGACAAGTCATGCGATCCTAGCACTTCAGCTTCATGGGGTCGGGTATACCTTATCTTAGCAGGGACCTCTTCTCCATCGTCTGAGCTACCTGTTGGGGTGCCACTGCTTTCTACAGGTTCGTATTCTGAGGCTGATGGTGTCAGGGAGTCTTCCCCTTTGCTCTCACCTGACATGCTCAGAATCCTGTAAGCCTCTTTGCTAGTGTACCTTTCGTTGGACATTTTGGACTCTAAATTTACAGATACCTAGTGCAAAAAGAGCACCTGGGACTGCTTGAACCGCTACAAAAAAATTTACGTGAAAGTATAAAAAAGTAAAAAAGTAAAAAAACAGAGATCAGGCCTGATTCTGTGAATAGTGCAGTTTTGTGTACAATGTATTACAGGTGACAGTGATCAGAAATTATACTGACACTGCACTTCTTGTTAGGGGTGGGGGGGGGAGTGTTGGAGCTAAACACTAGTGCCGGCAGCGAATGGGGATGATCCTGTTAACACTGCGTTTTTGGGGACACTAATAATAAGGGAGCACTGGTATAGTTTTGTTTGTGATCAATATATTGATCCGTACAAACACTATACTAGTAAAGAAGGTGATCAGCGACTTATAGCGTGAGTGCGGGCAATCTAACGCTAGCTGACCCTAGCTGGGAGGGACGTTAACTGACCCTGATGCTATCTGACGTCGATAGTGGCCAGGGGTGGACTGACCATTTGGAAACTCGGGCACTGCCCGAGGGCCCGGGGTCAGTAGGAGGCCCCATGAGATGCCCCTGGTACCTTTTTCATAGGCTTTTTTGAGTTTGGGCAAAGACACAGAGGCCCCATGATCCCCTATTGCCCGGGGGCCCCATGAGTTGTCAGTCCGCCCCTGCTAGTGGCACTAATACAATGATCAGTGAAAAATACTGTATACTGACACCATACTAATGGCACTGGCAGGGTGACAGGGGGCAATCAAAGGATTAAATCTGGCAATCAAGGGGTTAAAATGTCTCTGTCTAAAGTGTGTGGGTGCACTGTGCAGCTTTTACTCACAAGCGATGTCTTTCTTCTCTCTCTGAAACAAAATGTTTCCAGGGAGAGAAGAACAAGCTAGATCCTGTGCCTGTATTTACAAATACAGGCACAGCTCTGCATCTCCATTCACTGTAGGAGAGGGGAGGGGTGGGGGGCACGAGCATGTGCGGTCTAAACCCGGAAGAGCAAAGCAATGTACTGGTACGTCGCTTTGCCTGCATCTACCGCCCATCCACAGTACATTGCGGGCGGGAAGCGGTTAATGTGTATAGGGTCTTAGATTTTACTCACTCTTACTGTACTTTAACCTCTTGCCTACTGGGCACTTATACCCCCTTCCTGCCCAGGCCAATTTCCAGCTTTCAGGGCTGTCACACTTTGAATGACAATTGTGCGGTCATGCAACACTGTACCCATATGAAATTTTTATAATTTTTTTGAGACAGATAGAGCTTTCTTTTGGTGGTGTTTAATCACCTCTGGGATTTTTATTTTTTCTTAAAACAAACCAAAAAACCACTGAAAATTTTGAAAAAAAAGTTTTTTCTTAGTTTTTGTTATACAATTTTGTAAATATGTGATTTTTCTCCTTCACTGATGTGTGTTAATGAGGCTGCAGTGATGGGCACTGATAGGCTGCACTGATGGACACTGATAGGTGGAACTGATGGGCACTGAGGAGGAGGCAATGGTAGGTTGCACTGATGGGCATTGACAGGCATCACTGATGGGCACTGAAAGGCAGCACTGATACATGACACTGATACATGACACTGATACATGGCACTGATAGGCAGCACTGATAGGCAGCACTGACTGGCACTGATAGCGGCACTGAGTGACACTGTTAGGCGGCACTGACTGGCACTGTTAGGCGGCACTGACTGGCACTGATAGGTGGCACTGATAGGCGACACTGACTGGCACTGATAGGTGGCACTGATTGGCAGCACTGATATGTGGCATTGATTGGCATTGATAGGTGGCACAGACTGGCACTGATGGGTGACATTGAAAGGTAGCTCAGATGGGCACTGATATGTGGCATTGATGTGCACTGGTATGCACTGATATGTGGCACTGATGTGGCACTGATGGCACTGGCACGTGGCACTGATGGGCACTGGCACGTGGCACTGATGAGCACTGACAGGTGGCACTTCTGGGGCCACACTGATCATCAGGGCACACTGATCATCAGTGCCCTGATGATCAGTGTACATGTCCCCTCCACGTAAAGCCGATTACCGGCTCTCCTCTCCTCACGAGCTGTCAGCGTGACAGCTCGAGAGGAGAGAAATGCTGATAACTGCCATTTCCGTGTTTACATGTGTGATCAGCTGTGATTGGACACAGCTGATCACATGACTGAGCCGACATCTTCGGCTCTTTCCGTGATCCGCTGTGACAAAGCGCACCGGCGATCGCCGCGCTGCTCGCTCCCTGAGCCGCGCATGTGCAGTGAGAATGGTAGGACGTCATATGACGTCCTATCAGAACAAGAGAACCACCTTGCGCCCGTCATTGTACTATAGGGCGGGCGGAAAGTGGTCGAGGGTCAGTTCACACTATGTGCATTTCAGTGTACTTTTTTGCATCCAAAACACACAGAAAGTAGGTTATATGGTTGTCAATGCCATAGTTTTACATCTGTGCTTGCAGTTCCAGTGCATTTCAGTTGCAGAAAAAAAAAACAGGCTGCATTTTTCCTGCACAGATCTGTAGTGGAATGCTGTAAAACACATCAAAAAGGCATCGGAACGCACTGGAATACACCAAAAATGCACAGGAACGCAGATGTCCCTATTTAAATTGAAGAAAATGAGAGGGGGGAGAAATGAACCGGAACGCATCAAATCCACACCGCAACATGCTAAAAACGCAGCAAAAACACACAGGAACATGCCAAAAATGTGCATGCGGAAACACATCTGAAACGCATCTGGACTGCGTTTCTATGGTGTGAATCGGTCCTAAATCAGCAAAATACATTCCAGGTGCATCAAAACATTTACATCAGCACCTGGAATGTATTTAGCTAACTAAAAATTAATGTTCATTTGGGCTTTAAAATGTGCAAGGTGCTACTGTTTGTTTCTTTTCTGTCATGCTACATTTAACAAATTTAATCTGTATTATCCTTATGCAGTATTTAAAGCCATGATAGGTTTTTATACCAACCTCATACTTCTCTGGATTTCCAAATTCCAGCATTCCTTTATCCATTGACGGCTCTTTGTTGTGCATTGCCAGTAGCATTTCTTGTAGTATCTGTAAGGTCCAGTTTGTTCCTACAATGCAGTACAGCACATTATACCAAAGGCTGGTGAGATTTAGCAGTCAAGAAACTTAAATACTAGCTTTTGCGAGTGTGTTTGTATGCTACAGTCGCAGGTACAGCAGCCCATTCATTTACAGTGGGGCAAAAAGATATTTAGTCAGCCACCAATGTGTGCAAGTTCTCCCACTTAAAAAAAAGATGAGAGAGGCCTGTAATTGGCATCATAGGTAGGCCTCAACTATGAGAAGAAGCATTTTTTAATATTTTTTACCATAAAGTGGTTGTAATCCCTCATATATACCCAATTAAGTTGTACCTGCCCGCCTTCAGTTTTCTCTTCTCTACATCCTTTCAAAGTGCTTCAACACGTTTATAAAGCTTGTCTGAGAGTTCAGAAAAAAGGTTATGAAGAGCTGAAAATTACACCCTGCAGGACTCAGTGAGCAGATCTGTGACAGCTGATTGGAGGGAAGGTACACACACCCCTCCACGCAGCACACAGGAACAGAGCTGAGGCTGTCAATCTGCTGGAAGTCCTTCCCCTGTCACCATTTTTTCTCTTGGTGTCAGGAAAATTTTCAGAAGTGATTCATGCTGATACGGTAGCCAAGGAACAAGGCAGCAGACAGAAATGACACATAGTGCTCTCATTTGAGACAAGTACACACTATAGAGGGATATGGTTTGTTTGTATTTCATGTCTAAGGTTTACAACCACTTTAATGCAGGGAATGCATTAAGGTAAAAAAAAAAAACATTTTAACTTTAGAACCACTTTAAGCTCAGTATATACACATGGATTATTTTGCTTAGACTGCAGGCTGACTGAAAATAATCTACCAGATTCCCCATCTACGCTATACCGCACTGATGGAAGAAACTTCTGCTGAGGAATTTATATTCTGACAGCCGAAGCCAGTGCCTATCAACATACCTGTGGTTGAATCTGATTGGATGCAGCTGCCATTCAGCTAACTATTTTCCCCTTGGCTCCTTCGATTTTTCTGTTAAAGCATGTTGGGCGGGAGGTGTAGAGAATTTTGTAGGGTTCCTCAGTAAGGCTAGGTTCACATCTGAGCGGGTGGTGCCGCTGCTGATCCGCACAAAAATCTGTGCAGTTAAAGTAATGCAGCGCCGTATCGCAAAAAATGGCCTGGTCAGGAAGGGGGATAAATCCTCTGGAGGACAAATGGTCAAATTGTATTCCCTGCCTGTGTGACTGGCTCATTGCCCTTCCCAGAAGTCTTCACTGAGCTAAACAATAGTTTTTGAACTCCCTGAAAAAAAAAACATTTTTACTTAAATGATTTTCAGGACTCTTCCTCCCTGCAGGGCAAACACTACAGTTTTTGTCATTACATCACTTGAACAGATTAGCTTCTGATTATGAAAGGGGCCCCTCCCATTCAGAAAGTAGGTTTGGGAAAAGATATAATGAGGCAAGTACAAATTACTTCAGAACAGAGAGGCATGACTCTGCAAAAAGTATGCCAACATTCTTGTAATTTGTATTGTTCTACATGTACTCCCACTGCCACCATGAAAAACTTGGAAAACCTGATCCTCCTGAAAACCTTTTGAAAGCCTTAAGCAGACAATACACACAGCGAAAAGCACTGAGCTTAATATAAACATTGTTTTTAGTGACAAACTGTGGATATATATATACAGTGTATATATATATATGGGGCGGACTGACTCATGGGGCCCCCAGGCAATAGGGGATCATGGGGCCCTTGTGTCCTTGCCCAAACTCAAAAAAGCCTATGAAAAAGGTACCAGGGGCATCTCATGGGGCCCCCTACTGACCGAGTTTCCAAATGCAGTGCCCGAGTTTCCAAATGGTCAGTCCGCCATACTGTGTGTGTGTGATATATATATATATATATATATACAGGATTGCAAGAAAAAGTATGTGAACCCCTTGGGATTACGTGGAGTTTTGCATGAATTGGGCATAAAATGTGCTCTGAACGTCATCTAACTCACAACAATAGAAGAACACAGTCTGCTGAACACAATACTACACAAACATTAGATGTTGCCATGGTTTCATTGCACATAACATGTAAACATTCACAGTGCAGGGAGGAAAAAGTATGTGAGGCCCTAGCTTAATGACTTCTCCCAGAGCTAATTGGAGCCAGGAGTGAGCCAACCTTGACTCCAATCATTGTGATGATATTGGATGTGTTGCTGACAGCTGTCCTGCCCTTAAAAAACACACACCTGTTTTGGGTTTACTGGTTTCAAGAAGCACTGTCTGATGTGAACTATGCCTCGCAGAAAAGAGCTCTCAGAAGACCTACGATTAAGAATTGTTGACTTGCATGAAAGTATCTCCAAAAGCCTTGATGTTCATGTGTCCACGGTTTAAGACAGACTGTCTACAAATGGAGAAAGTTTAGCACTGTTGCTACTCTCCCTAGGCGTGGTCGTCCTGTAAAAATGACTGCAAGAGCACAGCGCAGAATGCTGCATGAGGTAAAGAAGAATCCCAGAGTGTCAGCTAAAGACCTACAGAAATCTCTGGCACATGCTAACATTTTTGTTGACACATCTACAATAAGGAAAACATTAAACAAGAATGGAGTACATGGGAGGACACCACGGAGGAAGCCATTGCTGTCCAAAAAAGAATATTGCAGCACGTTTGAAGTTTGCAAAAGAGCACCTGGATGTTCCACAGCACTACTGTCAAAAAATATACTGTGGACAGATGAAACCAAGATTAAGTTGTTTGGGAAGAACATACAACACTATGTGTGGAAAAAAAAGGCACAACACACCAACATCAAAACCTCATCCCCACTGTAAAACATGGCGGAGGGAGCATCATGGTTTGAGGCTGCTTTGCTGCCTCAGGGCCTGGACAGATTGTTGTCATTGATGGGAAAATGAATTCCAGAGTTTATCATGACATTTTGCAGGAAAACGTATGACCATCTGTCCGCCAACTGAAGCTCCGCAGAGGATGGGTGATGCAACAGGACAATGACCCAAAGCATACAAGTAATTCAACAAAACAATGGCTGCAACAGCAATGAATACGCCTTCTGGAGTGGCCCAGTCAGGGTCCTGACCTCAACCCGATTGAAATGCTGTGGCATGCCCTTAAAAGAGCGATTCACACCAGACATCCCAAGAATATTGCTACACTGAAACAGTTTTGTGAAGAGGAGTGGTCCAAAATTACTCCAGATCGTTGTGCAGGTCTGATCTGCAACTACAGGAAACGTTTGGTTGAGGTTATTGCTGCCAAAGGAGGGTCAACCAGTTATTAAGTGCAAAGGTTCACATACTTTTTCCTCCCTGCACTGTGAATGTTTACATGTTATGTGCAATTTAACCATGGCAACATCTAATGTTTGTGTAGTATTATGTTCAGCAGACTGTGTTCTTCTATTGTTGTGACTTAGATGACGTTCAGAGCACATTTTATGCCCAATTCATGCAAAACTCCACGTAATCCCAAGGGGTTCACATACTTTTTCTTGCAACTGTATATATATATATATATATATATATATAGATAGAGTTGTGTTCAAAATAATAGCAGTCAGACATCACTAACCTGATCAATCACTGTTTTTGGTAGAAATGATATTTCTACATAGCAAAAAGGTTACTAGCAGGTGTAGTAGAGTAATAGAAATCCAACAGACCCAACAGTCATGACATTCATGCTGCTGATTCTGTGTAATTGAATCACTAATTGAAAGGGGCATGTTCAAAATAATAGCAGTGTGGAGTTCTATTAGTGAGGTCATTCATTCTTTGAAAAACAGGTGGCAATTATTGCCCTTATTTAAGGAAGGAAGGCAGCAAATGTTGTACATGCTGGTTACAGTGCATTTCTCTCTGATATTCTGAGGAAAATGGGTAGTTCCAGACATTGTTCAGAAGAGCAGCGTACCTTGATTTTATATATATATATATATATATATATATATATATTATATATATATATAATTTTATTTTTTTTGCCCTCACAACACCCACAGCCAGGCAAAAAGCATTTTCACACACTTCAATAAACTCAGCTCAATAAACAGTGTAGGGGTGTTTGGTCTGGCGTTTATTTTAGGAACAGTTAACTTGAATGGGGAATGGGGGTGCACAGGATACCCAGATCTGAAGGAAACTGTAGAATTTCAAACAAACAGTTGATGATCTCCTAAGTCACTGGCTGCTCTAAGGGTCGGTTCACACTATAGAAACACAGTCCAGATATGTTCTGGATGCGTTTCTGCATGCGTGTTGGGAGAGAGCTCAAATCAGAAGAAATTAATAGATAAAAAGTAAATGAAGATTATTAACCTGTTGCCGCCCAGCCACTGTATTAAAACGGTGGCAGGGCGGCACGGGTGTGCAAAACCACATTTTTAAACATGTCCCGCACTCCCGAGGCTTTCGCAGGCAGGGGGGTGTCACTATTCGATCCCCAAGGGATCAATCATTCGGTTTCAGCCAGTGATGTCTGGCTGAAATCGGATGATCGGTCCCTGTCCTATCCTGTCCTGTGTTGACAGTTACACAGGACAGGATATTATGTCATTCTTCTCTGCCTGGGCACATTCCGTTTCAGACAGAGAAGACAGAAGAATTGTGAGTACAAAGCACTACACTTTCAGTTAGAACACACCTAGGACACATTTAACCCCCTGATCGCCCCCCCCCCCAGTTAACCCCTTCACTGCCCTGTCACCAGTGTCATTTATTACAGTGAACAGATTTTTACTGATCACTGTATTAGTGTCGCTGGCGACTTCCGATAGTATTAGCGCCCCTCCCAGATAGCGCCAGTTTTCCCGCTAGTACACCAGTATCCCATTTAACCCCTTGATCACCCCCCAGTTAACCCCTTCACTGCCCTGTCACCAGTGTCATTGATTACAGTGAACAGATGTTTACTCGTCACTGTATTAGGGTCACTGGTGACTTCCGATAGTGTTAGCGTCAATTAGCACCCTCCCAGATAGGGTCAGATTGCCGCTAGTACACAAGTAA